AGTAAAAATACAATCTTGATGCAATTACATTAAGTAAACATTGACATTGTGTAGTTTGAAAATTTTATTTTGTTTTCATTCATATGATTTTGAATTTATAGCTGTGTTGGAACTGTACAACAGACGCCGATATTATAACAAGAAATTTGTGCATCTCTCGGTGAAACAGTTGTTGGCAAACAAAGTATTTAAATCTAACGAAAAAAATTGAAAATTTTGGAAAGGTTCATTTTTATTCATTCATAGAGAACTTAAATAGGCATATGGAAATTTTATACTTGACTCTGAGATTTATTGGGTTTATTGAAAATGTTGAGAAGGTGACAAATAGAAATTAATGTTTTATGAATTCTAACGTATATCATCGTTGGTCATGGCTTAAAGTAAATGTTTAAGTTATCGCATAATATTCAAAGAATTTAAAATAACTTTTAGATAAATCTTATTTTTCAATTTATTAAAGAAATTTAAAATCTTTTTTAATAGAAAATTAATTTATTAGAAAATAAGTATTAAAAATAAACCTAACTTTTACCCAAATTCTAAGAATTCTATTATTAAAAATTTTGTTATCTATATACACATTTTTCCTTGCTATTTCGATTTTCTATCGATTTTCAATTCGTATATATATTTTAAATATATCACCGCAAAAATAATCCTGAATTTTCTATTTGTATACAATTTTCATTTTTTATTTTTCATTCTTTCATACATACACAGCACATTTATGATTTCTATTTAATGTGGATAAATAAAAGAGAGAAAATATAATAGAGAAAAATAGAGTTAAAAAAAAACAAAATACAATTGTTTTTTTATTAAAAAGTGAAAATATTTTTGTGCGAATCGATTTTTTTGTAAAAATATTTTTGTACTTTCTGTTTTCATCTTAAACAATTTGGTATGTTCTGTTGTGTAGCATAACTGAATTTTTAAAAGTAAGTTAGGAATACTGTTGGAAAATTTTAAGAATTTAATAAACACTTGATCACATAAAATAGATATCTGCTCCAATTCAACAACTTTTACTAATTTGAAATTTTGCACAAGCCTTATTTAATTAGTGTTCTAATAAATATAGGCCATTCGTTTTGCTACCATTCAAGTTGAAAAATAATTAACTCTTATCTTGAGGACAATAAAACCTACAAGTTTCGAATTCATATCAAACAAGAAAAAAGACCTTGTCAACTTTGTGATACCCGTATCCTATATGCGATTTTGTTATCCTATGTGCGAATAAATAAGCCATAACTGACTATGGGATAGACAATGATTTTAAGTTGCCGTATTACCATATTAATTTATGCAAAATTTCAGTACTGTGTTTTTCAAAATACTGTGTGTGCCAAACTACTATTGAAGTTGTACGGCAGTTACCAGAAAGAGCCAAGAAATTTTAATGAATTTTATCAAGCACATCGGCCCTTCTAACTTTCGACCACTTCGTTTGTGTGAAATTTCAATACCATAACTTTTATAGTTTCTGAGATATAGCCAAATAAATTTTGAAGTTGTATGGCAGCTACCCGCACCGTTACCCTGATCATGCCCAATTTAAATAGGGTTCTGGCACTTATTGCATTAAATCATTTGTGAAAATTTGGTGAACTTAGCTCAATTAGTTTTTGAGTTATCGTTGGGACGGACGGACAGACGAAGCTAAATCAACTCAGAATTCGACGCTGATCAAAAACATACACTTGAGTCTATATCTAAGAACGTTATTTTTTAGCGTTACAAACGGTAAGGCAAATTTAGTATACCCTTCGAACATACGTTCGTACGGGTATAAAAATTAAGGTAATAGTCAAAAATCAATTTAAACTAATTCTAAATTAACAAGTTTAATAAAAGGGTCTTCATTTTAAAATTATGCTAGTTTTTTTTTATACTTGGAATGCGGATATTATAAGCGGAAGCGTGGCGAGGCTTTAATAAGTTAAATGGCAGCGGTGACCCTGGTCATATACCTTCTTACCCAATTCGGTTCTCTTTAAATTTATCAATCTAGTGGGCTATATATGAATCCCTTTGTCATTTGTTATATAACTCTTGGTTATTTGTTCTCTTTTTAAAGTTGTGCCGCATTTGATTATTAATAAAGTTTGTATATGAATCGAAATAGTTTAAAATTTAAAATAAAAAAATTGATGCAACAACTCTGCAAAAATTAGTTTGCTTTCGTGAATATCTCAAATATTGTGTTAAAAGTTTGAAAATTATGTGAAAAGAATTATATAGGTTAGAATAGCTTCACATCAATTCACATGTGTGTTTTCAAATAAAAAAATATTAAAAATGCAAAAATACAACCAGGTGAAAAATAAGGATCACGTATATTAATTTATTTATTTTTACTTTACAATTTATGAAATTGGTTAAAATGCTTTCACTCATTTTGATTTTTTCTCATAAATTTATTTTTAATTTAATCACCATTTATATACTAAACATAATAGTAACATAAGTTATCCTTCAAAATATAACAATAAAATAATAAAAAATCACCTTCAGAAAAAGAAAATATTTACTAAAGAACACATGTGTTTCATATAAGGATTCACCACATACAGAACAATATCCTTGTGAGGAAAAAGGCAAATAAACCGATATATTTTATTCCATTTTCTATCTTTTCATTTTTTGCTGTAATTTTTATTTTACGTATAACACATACCAATATACATATATACAATTACATGTTTACTCGTATATAAATGACTGATATGTGTATAAATATATTATTATGTTTGTCTAAACCTTTATAATATATTAACGATTCTTAATATTACCACTTCCATTTCAATAATTTCTTACCCTTAATAATATCAAATAAATTTTACAACAAATAAACAAACAAACAAATGAAATGGAAATAGAATAAATGTGTTTTTCTTACTTCTTTTTCAAAGGATTCATGTTAAATAAAAGAGAAAAAAAAACAGAGTAAATGAAAAAATTAGATAGAAAGAGTAGAACACAAAAAAAAATTAAACAGATTTGATGGAGGAGATGAAACAGAGATGATGGAGGAGAAAGACATAAAGAAGCAACTATTCAAGAATAATAATAAAAAATTTACGAAATGATCAACAAATGCGTTGTAATTTTTTTGTAAGGTGGGAATTACAAAAGTGTGAAAAATGTTTTTACCTCTTTGCTACTGCTTTGCTGATGAACGTGTGGTCTGAAATCAAAGTAAAAATCAAAAAACCAAGTGTTTAAGAAATTAAAACGATCGACTCGGTGTTTATGTATATACATAAGTCTTACTAGGGCCACTTATAATTTTAGTGTTATATGTAAATAATTGGAAAAACTGTAAAAACAACTGCAAAGTATTTATACTTAAGAGCTGGTACTATTTGGTTTGTTTTGGTACAAAAGCTCAATTTTTCGAGACTTGAATTTCCAAAAACAAATTTAGAGCAAAGTTGTGTTGATGTGATTTTATCTCAAAACTTACAGGGCAGAGCATTCGTTTATTTTTTTTAAGAATTATATTAGGCAGTTATATCGCATATATCCAAGATTTAATTAAGTAATCAATTCTTGATTTGTAAATTTTATCGAATTTTATCTAATTATGCATTTGAGAATCCTTAAAGTAAATCTTATGAAAAAAATTTAGAAATTGGTACACATCTTCTTTGTCATAATCTTCTCTTTAATATTTCATACTTTTTTGTGTTATCGCAAAAATAAGCATATAGTATGACATACATACATACACTTATGTAATATTGTTAATGATATTATACTTAAGTTTTATCAGAAATTAAATTTAAAAAAAAAAATTGTTTTTCCAACTCTTAAAACACCCAATGTGTTGAAACTAGCGAACTTTCTTTTATAGTTAGTTGGTATACAAAAAATTATATATTTTTTTCAACTTTCCTTTCTAACATTTTTCCATGTTATTTAAACATATAAAATATAATTTAACATTTTAAACTTCAAGTTATTTAAATTCACCATTCAGAAGATACAAATTCACCATACAAATGTAAGAAAAAAATTCTCCTCAATAAGAATTTTAAGAAAAAACACATTCAGGAATTTATACAACAACTGCTAAATATACATATTTGATTCGTATTGACTGCTCAATGGTATTCCGAATAAACATATCCGTTATAATATTGAATTTGGAAGTAGTTTATGTACCTTATATTTTTGGTAGTAGATTTTAAAGTTTAATTTTTTTTATTTCACAATATTTGTTTTCTTATAATGGAACACTCACAGTTCTATTTTAAGGGCTATCAGAGCGTTCGAAACTCAATAGTAATTGTGAAGCAGTGCGTTAGAATAAACAACGAACAAAAAATTTAAAGGGATACTTTTGTTTCTTGTTAAGTTAAAGGCACTCTTATTAAGTTAAAGGGAGAGAAAATGATGGTTTTCCTGAAAACCGTGACATAAATTTTACTCCATTCTATAGCACACATTAAAATAACAGATTTTCTATATAACAGATTTCCAAATTCGTAAACTTATACGTGTATGCGTTTATGTACATGTTATCTATTATTAAAATAGTGTATTATTTTTTCGACACTAAAATATTTTAACAGTGTAAAAATGAACGAGAAACACAGTCAAAAAATGTAATTTAATAAATGAAATGATAAATAAAATTGGTACACAAGGAGAATGTTACAAAAAATGTAAACAAAACAAAAAACATTAACATAGAATAAACATATAGAAAAGTGAAAAAAATGGTGTGTGTATTACAAAAGTGTATGTATAAAGAATATCATAAAAAAATAGCAACTATAAACAGAGAGTAAAATGAAAGCAAAACAAACTTGAAAAAAGAAAAAAAATAACAAAGAGAAGAAAATAACACAGAATAATATAAAGAAGAGGAAAAGAATAAAAACAGAAATAGCAAATAAACAAAAACAAAAAAAAATATAAAAAATATTTGAGAATTTTATATAAATAGAGAAGGATATTCGAAAGATTATTTAATCGCTCTCGAACAAGTGAACAGTTCCGGTCGATAGAATGATTTTTTTATTTTTCAAAAATTATAACAATATTATTATCGCGTTTTTGATCGTTTCTGATTGATAATTGTAAATCACTTGATTGGAATATACAAAAATAATACAAATTTGTTTAAAAGAATTAAATAATTAATAAAAATTGAAATAAATAATAAAAGAAAGAAATAAAAAGAACGTTATTGTTGCAAAAATTTTATATTTTAAAAATTAGTAAAAAAATTTTGTTATAAAAACCCGGTATTCTTAAATTTCTTTTGTTTTTTTTTTCCTTTTTAAACAAAAGGATAACGATTATTAAATGAACGTTATTGTAATCTCTGTTTTGATAAAAAAATTTTTTTTTTTGATTTAATTAATAAGGAAGGAAAAAAGGATATAAATGAAGGTTAAAAGAGGAAATTTCAATTGAAAAATTAAAATAATATTAAAGAAAAAGAAATTGATAATAAAAAATAGTGAAAGAGTGTCAGGCAGAGGTTATAATTTTCTTTATAAATAAAATTATTTAAGTTTGTAAAGTGCCATTACAAAAAATTCATAAAGAATAATAAGAATTAAAAAAATTTTTTATTAAACAAAAAAAAACACAAAAAAACAAAAGGATAACAAAATGAATACTTTTATATCAATCGGATTTTTCAGTATTCTTATACCGTTATTAATTTTTGCCAATAGTAAGTTTAAAAAAAATTTTTTCTTTATTATAAAATTTTCAAAAATAAAATTTATTTTTTTATATTTCTTGTATAACAAAATAATAAAATTTATGATTATTTTTTATTTTCTCAAAAAAATAATAATAAATAATTCGAAAGAACACAAAAACTCCTTAACAAGTTTTAGTGTTATTCTTTTTGTCTGGGTCGTCTTATCTTCTTTTTAAGATTTATTTATTATTGTAATAATATTTAAAATGTGCTCATATTACATGAGTGTCTTTATATGACAATATTAGTTAGCACATTGTTTTGTTTACATTCTTTCATATCATTGTATTTTCATTTCATTCCTCTTTTTTTTTGTTTGTTTTTTCGTTGGTGGGAGAAAACGGTTTGTTTATTTTTTATTTTCATATTGAATAAAATATATTTTTTTTTTCGCTTTATATACAAGTGTAGGTATTTTACACACCATCATTGTAACAAAATATCCTTTATTTTTTCGAATATTTTACAAGTGGATAATAATAATAATATGTAATAATATTTATTTACTTATTTTCTTATTTTTATGTTCTATATTTTTCAATGGGGGGGAGGGTTTAAAATAAAAATTTTATGTAAAATTTTATTTATTTTGATTTAGTGGTTGTTATAAAGCAAATAAAAGAAATTATCATAATATTTATTTTTCAATAAAAAATAATAACAATATGAAATAGAAAAATAGATAGGATCCCTTCGTATTATGTAGAATATTAAGCGGGAAAATAAAAAAAAAAGGATATTGAATTTTGAACATATGTGAACAAAATAAAACTGAACAAAATGAACTTTTATACATGCCAGTATTTTTCTAGCATAATGTTAATATTTTATATAAGTATTGTTGTTTTGGAATTTTTTTTACAAAAAAATTCATGCATTGAATTTTTAAATAATTTTTTAAAACATATTTTTTTTTCTGTAATAACGTATATTTTGAATTTTAGATGAAAATATTTTTAAGAAAAGGTAGATAATTTATACACGAACAACTCGTTAATTTTATTTTGAGAAATATTTTTAAGATATTAAGGTTGTTAAAATAAACAGAAATATCTGAAGATAATATTTGAGATTGTTTTGTCATATTTATTTTGTTTTTAGTTGTATCTGAGGTTTTGTTGTTATCTTGTCACTATATATATATATACTTCTTTTTTTTAACGGTAATTTATTTTTGGAATAGAAGGGGTTTTCGATGCCAATCAATATTATGTTAAGTAGTTAAGTATATAATGCTAGAAATTTTGTAGATGAATTATTATGCATGGAATAAAAAGTTGGATTAATAATGATGTAAAGGAATTAATAAAAAGATTGCAAGTAAACATTGTAAATTTTTAGAATAAAATACGAGTACTGGGAATACAAATTCCAGAATAATAGAATATTTTTAGGAAAAGTATTAAAATTTGATATTTTTATGGTTTCATAAAATGACGATTATTTAGAAATTTAATATATGTAATAGAATTTTCAGAATTTTGTAAGAAAATGTAAATCCCTTCTGTACATTTATGTTGAAATTTAAAAAAGAAACAGCTAATTCATATACATACTTAATTGTAGAGACAGCAAAACTTTCCTCTATAAAAAAAGCGATAAATTCATACCCTTTATGTCGAAATTGAAATTTTGAAAATTACTGCACAAATTTTTTTCTCTCTCATAAAACGTTTTATCGAAGTTATGTTCACGCAAAAACGTAAAAGTATGGCAGTATTCCGAATTATATAAAATGCGTTTTTGAAACGTAACGAAAAACAAATTTGCATTCAAAAAATTCAGTATACTTTTTGAAAAATTTTGAGAATGTTACCAGGCGTTAGTTAATATTTAATTTGATATGTGTGATCGTAATTTTTACTTTTTGTGTTCAATTTCGGTTTAGGACATTTGTAAATGAATGATAAGAGAAATGTCAAAGCCAAAAAATCAAAATTTATATTTTGAAGTGTAACATGCTTAATTGTTTAAGGAAATTTCAAAATTGTTTTTTGGCGTGTTTTTTACTAAACTAAAATTTACGACAAAGTAATAGACTCTCATGAGAGACATGAGACCGGCTTAATAATACAGGGCGATTTAAATATAGTAAAGCAGTAAAACTATTTCGAATTCTACAATGAATCATTTTATTGCGTTCCATTAAATTAAATTAAATATTTTAATAAAGCTTTTCTATATGTAAATTTTGGATATGATTGAAAATATACTATTTATATGTGTGTCTTACTATCTTACTAATAAAGGCAAATTATTAATTATATAGGGGTTGTTTTGGGAAGTTATAATTCCTAACATTGGAACAGCACGACTAAAAAAACTGGCGTTATTTATTATTACCGCAGACCCTTTTGGGAAGCAATTTTTCATAATAAATTTAAAACTGTCTACATATTACTTTCTACAGATTTTTTTCAAATGTATTATACCGAAAATTTAAAAAAAATACTATTATATTTTGCGATAAATTTTTTACCTGAATTATATCTTAATATTTCTCTTATAAATTATCCTACTTAAATGTAGGGCTTATTATTTAGAGGGTTTTGTAAAATCCTTTCACACATTTAAAAAAAAATGTTATAAATGTATTGTAGTTTTAATTATTGTCCCGCTTAATTTTTAATTAGTGTCCTTTTTTAATATAAGTTAAAAATAATTAAAGTATGCAGGTATAATAATTAATTTGCGAAAGAAGACAAAAAATTTGCCGGCATGTTAAAATTGCATACACACAAAAAAATTTCATCCTAACAAGTGTAATTACAAATTTATTATGTATAAAAAAAAACATGGTGTGGCGTCGCAACTACACAAAGGCAAAAATGGAATATTTCTAAGTTAATATGGTAAAATATTTCAATAATATAATTTAAATTTAAATCAGGAATTGGAACACAAAACTCATAATTAAGTGTGCAATTTATTTTAACTGCATTGAGAATAATTAAAAATCTAACAGATGTAACTAGCCGCGGTACATAATTAATCTATATGATTGCAATTTATCAAAATTCTTTTAAATTAATATTTGTGTTACACTATCTCATTTCTGGCTTCTCTAAGGAAATTTATGTTATTTGGTTCCTTGCCAAATGTACATAAATTTAAAGTAATTTTTGGCAAAAAATTGAAATTTAATAATAAAATAAATTACTGTTGTATCGTAATCTAAAACCAAAAAATAAATTAAGGTGTGGTTGTTTAGTATATCATAGAATATACGAGTACATTCATGTGAACCAAGTACTCATTATAAGTTATAAATTAAAATTTTAAGTAAATGAACGAAAATATAGCGATGTTATCAGTAATTTGTTCTTACATTATGTTCCCTGTTGTTTAAACCTCATGTAATGACCGCAAAAGAGCCGTTTCGCTTAAATATCAATTTTTTTTCTACTAGGTGAAAAAATCTCGAAAGACGAAGAAGGACGGCTCTATCTCTCTATCTACGAACGGATAAAACTGGTTCTACAGTCCAACTATTACTTGTTGGACTGTACTCTATGGTCTTGTTCGTTTACTTGTTACTCTATGGTCTTGTTCGTTTAAGTCTTTCTGTTATAACGCCATTGTCTAGCAACCGAGATGCTCCCATATTTAAATGCTGCTCTAGACGAGCCCTATGCCTTGTAGCACAACTCCTAATTTCATCCACAACCAAAGGAATTCCTAAAACCCTGTGGATATCACTGTTACGTATATACTATGACGCATTTACCATGCTACGTAGAACATTATTCTGGAAGGTTTGAATTTTGCTAATGTGAGTCTTCTTGGCACAACCCCACATTTGAATGCCATATAGCCATACTGGTTTAATGATTTAACCATAAATTAATATCTAATTATCAATTGCCAAACTGGACTTACGATCTAGGAGCCAATAATTTTCTGTATAACATATTTATTCTCTAATTCTATGTGTTTCTTCTTTATATGCTCTTTTCATCTTAGCTTGACATCTAAAGTCATTCCTAGGTATTTCGCTTAAATATCAATGGTATTGCATTTAACCTTTGGCATATAATTAAAAATTACTTGGTTGGTCTCTTTTTCTCTTATTGAATACGATATGGAAATATGTAGTTACCAGTAATTTAAAACATAGTTTCCTTTGTAATTTAATAGTACATTTTTTTTCCATAATAATTCTGTACAAATCAAATTCCAATATTCCAAAAAACAGCAATTTTTCCATTGCAGTCTAAAAATTTTGAATGAAAACGAATTTTTGCAGTAATAAAGCTAGTTCGATTTCAATTTTGAATCTGCGTGAATTTTAGCCCAATATGTTAATGGGTCGCACCCTGTATAAGTTTTTAACATTTCTCATTGAAATATTTTAAAAACTAAAAGCAAATTAGATTATTAAATTGTTTTTTTCATTTACTTATTACTGGAATCCATAATATTTAGAGCGAATCGAATACAATATAGGCTGGCGTTAATTAATTTATTACAATTTTTTTTTATTCAGGAACGTCTACCCTAAATTTTATATTTTAATTAATCTGTAAAATAAACTTTAAATACTGTTATTGTATAAAAATATTGAAATGTGTAAATTTAAAAATTTTTCTCAAAATATTCTTTTTCTCTAGATACAAGGAATCGAATTGAAACGTAAAACAAGGAAGACATGTATAAAGTAGTAGTAGTAGTAAATTAATAGTAGAACGCCACAACAAAAAAAGAAAAATTATCATAGACCGGAACTTAACCAAAAATAAAAAATGTTTTTTTTTTTTTTTTATCAAGTTATACTAGAATAAGTACACCTAAAAGTATACTAAATAAAATTGAAATATTTTCCGCTCCAAATAATTTTGTTTTTTTTTTTTTTCAAATTTTCTTTTTAATAATAAAGTTTTATGGACTTGTAATAAATATAAAATAGGTATGGGTAGCTGTACCTATATACATATTATTATGTAGGGCTAGATAAGTTCATATTTTGTAGCAAAATTTATGAAGCCAATCTTTTTGACATGATAAAAGCAAAAAATTTTTATTTAATGGTTATATAAAAGTAAATTTTATTATTTTTGTTTCTTATATTTTGTAGTAATTTAAAGGATTTCTTGTAATATTACTGATCAAAAATTGGAAATATTAAAAATATACTTAATATAAGGATTTTACACTTAAACTTTGATGAAAAGTGATAAGGACTGTTATGAAATTTTTGATTTTTTATGTTTTACCATGGTGTTATTTGTTGCATCTCTTGTTATTGGAGTAATTTTTTAATTAAATTAACAAAATTATTCAAAAGCTAATTTAAAATATGTAAAAATTTTTCAGAAATCAGTTTGAAATAAGACCTAAATACTTCTGTTACATGATTGAAATAAAAATAGGCTTTTTAATGAGAGATTTGTTGAAATTGTAGCATTATTGAAGTAGGTACGGCTATATTGGAAGTTTTAATTTCAAAAAACGTTTACCGTCTAACCTTTTTAACGCATTTCTTTTCATTAACTTAGTGTAAACAGTTGATTACGTATCCTTCCTTTTTACTTGTCGAGTCAAACAAAAGTGGTTGAGTATTATATCAAATAATCTATTCAAATTTCAGTCACCATTCTTTGTTTTCCATAACGTGGCAATTTCAATTGATATTCTGAGAAGAAATATTTGACATAATGGTTAGTCTTATTGCAAATATAACATATAAAATTAAGACAACGCGAATTTAGATTCGAAAACAAATGGAAAAAGTGAGTGAAAAGCCGAGATAAATAAAATCAAGCTGCAAAGCTTTTATTTGTATGTAGACGTATAAGGTTTATGCTGAAGAAATGAAAATGATATTTTATTAAAAAAAATTGCATAAATTTAGAATAAATATTATCGTATGTATTGAAATTTTGCTAACTTGTCTTGATTATAAATCATGAATTGGAGAACTAACAAATACTCTTGTTTCAGTTCAATTATTGAAATTTATTGAAATTCAATTAGTGAAATTTGTTTATAGTATTTTATGATGAAAGGAATGAGTTCTAATCTTTCTCCCTTTGTAAATTTTTTTTTGATATTATGATATGGTATTAAAGAATCATAACCCTTTTTTTGATTGAGACGACTTTTTTTGAGATGTACATTTTAAAAGAGATTCGATTAAATTTTTTGATAGTATTAAGTTTTAATTCTGATTTTTTTTCATTCTTATTTAGAAATTTGCAATCCAATTACAATAACATTGGCCTGGTTAAAATCAATTTGTATTAATCATTATAAATTATTGAAATTTCAAGGTCAGTTGTCATATTAATAAAATTTGACATAAGATATCATCACGTAAATAAATTTTAAATATAAAAATATAAATTTAGAATTAATTAATAAAATTCATTATGATAAATTGTCACATATCCCCACATAATTAATGCACGTTTATTAAAATATTTTTCAAAAGTATGAATAATCATAAAATTTTGGCATTAAATTAAGCTGTCCATACACGAATGACGCACATTATTAATTCGAATGAATAAATTTGTTTCAAAATATTATTGTGTAAACACTAAGATTTTTAGATCTAGAAAAGAAATTTATGCTTGTTTACAGGACGACTTTTACATCATTCCCTGTGCGAATAGGCCCTTTTGGCTAGGGGAATGAAACGTATGCCAATCATCAATGCAAAACTTGTCGTGTAAGTAGACTTAGTTAAAATTATTTCTGATAAAAATTTCATTAAGTTTTTTTTTAAGATATTTAATAACGATAAAATAACTGACAAAAATTCTTTTTTTTTTTGTTAAAGAAAGCACTTTAAAGCATTTGTTAAACATTCATAAAATTAAACATAAATATTTAATTATTATTTTTTTCAAAACTTTTATTTATTATTCACTGACTATTCACAATTTAAATTATTATTGCCACACTTGCCATCTACGTATGTTGAATACTTAATATTTTCCTTTTTTGTTTTTGTAATTTAATGAATATTAAACAGAAAGGTCCTTATAAAATACAAAAATTTAAGTATGCATGAAATTCTTTTTAATTTTTTATAATATGTATAAGAAAAATTTTTTGAGTAGGCATTTTTTATTTTTGCATATTTTATTTACACCCACATACAAAAGATTTAAGCATAATGTTTAAATAAATTAAAATGAAATTCACAATTCCATTTAAATTGTGAATTTTATTTTGGCTACGAAAATAGTTTGAAAATATTTTTATTTTCATTAAAAGTTATTGTTTTAATGAAGTCAATGTAAATGCACATTGAATTTAACATTGAACTAAACATTGTTATTCTTGAAAATAATTTTACAAGGACACTTTGAGGTACATAATTTAGTTGTGGTAGCTCGAAATTATCACAACTAAATTATGTAAAAATTATTTGATTCTGTTGCTGAACCTACGACATTCAGCCAGTTACATATATGCTTAAGCTTCATAATTTAATGAGCTGAACTCTTTAACTTAAATGTATGATGTTATTGTATACTTAAACACAAAAATCTGTATTTGATTTTTTAAAAACCGGACTTGATTTTAAAATTTTAAGATTGGATTTTAATAAACCTAAACCTGAGTTCATTTAGAACGAATTGCATTTTATTGATTTAAAATGGAATGGTTTCCATGACGTCCAAATTACGTTAATTATGTATTTTTACACAATTCAGCAATTAGCTTTTAAAGTATTACCGTGCTTTTACAATAAATCAATATACAATAAAATCCATTCTATAAGTTGAATACTTTAAAACTTTCATAAATACATATAAATTTTTAACTATGGAAAGAGAAAATTAAAATTTTTTTTTATGACTTTATACTTTACAACGTTTCTTATAACTATCCGTAACGTCCGAGTACACATCTATCAATATTGAATTCCATAAAAGTCCAATTAAACCATGGATGTAAAATATTATAACGTTAGCATTGATTTTTTTAATTTTTAATGTTTACTGTGGTTTTACACAGTACATTTCGGAATTATTTTTTAAGCATGTTGTGTTCATATTTTTCAATTATCAAGCAACATAAAAAGTTTCTACATGCATATACGAGTATATATGTTTGCAAATGAATATTGTATACTTTGTTTATATATAAAGAAGTAGAAATTTAAAATTAAATTCATTATTAAAGTACTGCAATGTGAAAAAAGAGTGGCCATTAATTTAAAGAATTAATTAAAATTAATTTTTAAATTTTACAATCCAGCTTTGTATTATTATTAGATTTATTTCTGTCTCAAGGTGGTTATTTTTCATAGGAGTTAAATATAAGCGAATGTAAGCGTTAGGAGTTTGAGCTAATTTTTGAGGAGCTCGAGCTGGTTCGAATGAGAGGTGGAAAAGGATAGATCCGGCGGTACCACAACAGGCTTAGTTGTCTTATGCGTATCCTTGGGGGGCTACGGCAACCAACGTAATCTAACCTTATTTAAGTTATTTTAAAGCAATGGTGTAATTTCCGATTTGATTAAAACTGTTAAATTCCTGTAATTTAATTTATATCTAAGACTTATTTTAGAAACAAAATCATTGGGAACCTTTCTTCGTTTAGTTCGGTTTTATAAGAATAGTATGCTAAATAAATATAAAAGTTGTAAGAAAAGAGTTTCAATTTAAAAACTTTACTAAAAAATATATGTTTGCTGTAATCCAAACCTATTACTTATCATTGATGTAATATGATTCAGAGTGGGTAATTAAGATGTTAACAATTATTAGATACTTATACAGTTTATATTACTTCTCACATAATAAGTCCAAATTATGTGTTACCTAAATACTTTTATATAATAAAAATTCCAATGAATTTTTGTACCGCATTTCTATTTCCAAGTTAAATGGTCTCTTCAAATTAAGTTATTATTATAGTGTTAAAGTTGTATTTCATGAATTTTCTATTGTTTTTTTGTAATTTGTTTTATTGTGCATAGCGGTAAAAATACTTTATTAGCAAAAAAATTAACATTCTTTCCCTCTTTGTTAACGTTGAAAACAAAAGAAAAAAGTTTTTAAACTTATAGTAATAAATGAAAATTGCATCCTTTTTTATCAAAAAATAAAAAAAAAAATAACAAGCAACCTTGGGATATGAACAAATAAATTATGGAAAAAATAAAATAAAAAAGGGAGTTCAATTATGTAAGAAAATAATTTTTTACCTTCCTATAAATTTTGTACTACAGGATTGTTTATAAAACAACAACAAATTTTTATAATTGAATTATTAATTTTTGTTATTTTAATGTTGTTGTTCTTAAAACATTCTAGGGATTTATGTTAATAAGCAAATTAATGAATTTTGAATTATCACTGAAATCGAAGACCATGAAAGAGTAGAGCATTGCCAGGTTAGGAGGAGAATCATTTAATAATATTATTTTGTAGAAATATCTACAATACTTGCGGATAAAGTAATAAGCCGTTTTATGCTCGTATGCGTGATTTATTGCATTATAAATTTTTCTACAAATTTTTGATAATAAGTGTTTTAAAAAATTTTTTGTATTCAGTATAAATCAATTATCTGCTGCAAAAATTAAATGGCGCCCAATTTTATGCAATTTGGAAGAATATTTAAAATCACATACTTCTAGGGAAATTCGAATATTTTGAGCAAAAGAGGATTTAAAACGATGTAAATTTTAAAATTTTTTTTAGTTTATGAAAAATTCTTTAATGAAAGTGAAATAAATAATCTTCTGTAGAACAGTTTGTTAAAATAATTAAAATATAAATTCAATTATGTATCTGATTATTTCTATTGGTATCAGGTTCCTATTGATGTTTCTACAATACCGAAATAGCTTGAACTATGTAGTTTAATTTAAAAAGTCAAACTGTTGAATTAACTAGTGTATTGCACATATTAAATATGTTAGCGTGTATTAGCATTGTTTAACTATGAAAAAATAAATTTTATCTAACAGAAACATAAGATCACGAACTCTGTACAACCATTATAAAAGAATCTGGAAGCTTGAAAGTTCCTACAAAATTATCTTGTTTAGGAACAGGGAAATCATGAAAAAATTTTTATAATTTTTGTTGCCTTCTATGCTGCATTAAATTCTCTATCTTTTGTTTTTATATTCCTTTCTTTAGCATTGTTTAATAATGCAATAAATTTTAAGTAAACCTAAAAACTAAAAACGATGTCAGTGCATATTAATGAGAAAATGTTTATAAGAAGAAAAATTACATTGTACATATTCGAATATCTATACATTTGTTTTGCATTATAGCAGTACTGATGTAGAAGAATGAAATTACTTCTAAGACTATACACATCCTTCTACATATGTATATTATTGTATTCCTTTATAATATATTTGTAGATGAATGTTGGGACCATAAATTTGTTATGAGTATTGGCTAAGAATTTTAACATTTATTTTTACTAAATTATTGCTGTCAGTTTCTTTTTGTAGTTTTTATTTTTTTTTAAATTTTTGGAATATTTTGATTTTACTTAAATAAATTCAAATAAATTATTTAAAATGGTTGTAATATTTATAAAAATAATAAAAAATAAAGATATTTTTGTAGTATAATTTTAAGTAATCACCGAATTGTTGTTTGGAATACTCAACTTGTGTCAAACACACTTTATATACCAAATATTTTATGATTAAGATCAAAAGAATTTTAAATAAATTTCAAAGGATTTTATAACATTTTTTGATTTTATGTGTATTTGAATAAAAAATTAAGATTATGACCTACTTATACTGTTTATAAAAATAAATATCTTGGGACATATAATAATCTATTTGGTCCGAGAACAGTTATACAGAGACTAAAAGATATTTGTACATTTTATATAGATAATTTTTAAAATTTACATATTATTAAAAGTTTGTAATATTATTATAGAATTATAAAGGACAATGAATTTTATTTGAATTATTCATAATTAATTTAAAAAGTTATGAAAATTATTCAAATGATGTCCAAAACTTAATTGGAATTTGTAGTTTAAAAAATGATTAATAATTGTCATAAATTAAAGGACAAGTAAAATTTTTAGTAAAACACGGGTGAGTACACACTTCGAATAAAAGCCTTCATTTGATCAATAAATAATTTTATAAAAAATTAATTATTTATTTTGTTTTCTCATATTTGGTCTCACTCACCATATGGAAGGTGATTATATGATTATAGAGTATGATAAAGTGTTAGTTATACAACACTTGTTCGTTTTAAAAATTTATTAAAAATTTGTATTGAGAACTTCTACTTTATATAATTAGAGAACTTCTACTTTATTTAGTTACATGTATTAACAAGTATAGTATACTTGATTAATACATGTGCAAATTGGTAAATACTGAACATTGCAATACTCTTGCACTTGCTAGTAAAAAGGAGCATTAGCAAATATTAAGGTTTGATTCACGAATACGTCGCATAAATTTAATCAGGACCATATTTTCAAGAGAACAACAAGATACGTAAACATTTTTTTCTGAAAAAATATATTTTAACAAGACCAATTGCTATTTCTGTACAATTTCATCTTTTTATTTTGAATTAAAGTATAGATGTGGTAAAAACGAGTTCGATGAGTACATATTATTGCATTTGCTTAAAATATTTTCTTAAAAAACATGTTGTTTGGAACTGCTAAGTACTTAAGCAGACTGAAAATTGCTTAATTTTGAAA